TAGTAACCAAAAAGTAGACCAAATGTCCGCCAGTGGTTGGATCCATCAATAAAATATGTTACAAACACAATGGAAGATGATTTGGCATTAAACATGCATGCGATCATGTGAATGAACCTTGAAAATTAAGTGAAAGAAGGCAAACACACAGAATGACATGTTGCATGGTTTCATTTATGCGAACTATCCAGGATAGGGAGATCTAAAGAGACAGAGGACGGTGAGCCTTTGGCTTGTATACTTGGGATGTGTTATCAGGAGGGCCCAGGCCTTGGAGAGGGATGTCATGGCTTGGCAAAGTAAAGGGTCGAGGGGATGGGTGGACACAATGGTTGCATCACTGGGCTCAAACGTAACAGCTTTGTAACAAGGCACAGGGCTGGGTAGTGGTTCGTCTGCTGTACTTCCGGTCGCTTTGAGTGTTGACAGACGCGACAGCCAGCCCCTGATGATAGAGACAGAAAGTTGACTGGGCTGGGAAGACGGGGTTGACTGTGCCGGGAGGGAGAAGGGAGTGGGAGTGGAGAGCAGCGAGCTGCAGTGTTCTGTTGGAGATGATAGAACTGCTCTGGAATTGGATCGCGGATGATTGAACATACTAAAAGCTACTGAATTACACACTTTAAATAGATGAATTGTATGGTTGTGTGAATTATATCCTGGCAAAGCTGTTGTATAAAACTACGAACACACTTGGCTCTGAAATGTGGTATATGGTTCTTTTTCTTCCCTTTCCCCTCAGGCACCCGCTCTTCCCGCTGTTGGCTCTGCTCTTTGAGAAATGTGAGCAGTCCACGCAGGGCTCGGAAGGCACGACCTCAGCCAGTTTTGATGTGGACATTGAAAATTTCGTCCGGAAGCAGGAGAAGGAAGGGAAACCTTTCTTTTGTGAAGATCCAGAAACCGACAATTTAGTGAGTAAAGAAAGTGGTCTGTTTTTATTTTCTATTTCTTCTGCACTTCAGACTGTGCTCTGCTCGAGACAGGGTAGCTGTGCCGGAGCATCCCGTGTCCTGCCCAGGCTACCTCGGTGTCTCGGGTCTCCCTCTTCTCCGGTTACCTTCCTTTGCAGCGCAGGTGCAGTGGTCGATGCTTCCTGCCCGTGTGGACCAGCGGGGGAACCTAGCTCCCCCCTAAATATTTCCAAAGGTTTCTCGGGATCGGGTGCTCACAGGCCCTGGTCCCTCGTGTCATGTGCGTGGCACACTTGGCGTATTCCTTGTCATGGCACATTCTCCATGACAGCACTGCCCCGGTGGTCCTTCGTCTTTCCTGAGGTCTTGCGGGTGGGGAGGAGGAGGTGGCCTACAGCGCTGTGCAGAGGAAGGAGAGGATTCTATAATTTGGGCCACAGTGCCCTGTTTTGGCTACACAGCACAGCACAGCAGTGTCCTGAGCCCCAGGCATACACCAGGAGGTAACCACATGTTCTGCTCCAGGCCCAGGGCAGCACTCAGGGCAGGAGGAGCTGCCGAGACGCCTTTACCAGCTCTCCACCGAGGGCGTGCAGTCCCCATTCAGAATCTTGGGCTGGGCCTTTATCAGCAGAGAAATGTTATGGACGCCACCTCAAACCCACACCTCACAGAAGGGTGCTGAGGGCAGAGGGTCACTGTACCAGTGTGTCTAAGACTCTGGGACGTAACAGGAGGTTAGTAGGTCCCAACTGGAGGGAAGAGATGCTTGTGAGGTGCTGATTGAAGGCAGGGTTGAAGGGTGGGGAGGGGGACATGCAGGGTGGCTACTCAGTAACATTGTAACACTTTGATTAAACACTTGCTGATACAGTGACATTCTTAGGAAGGACTTGAAAGGTTTGTTTTGTTTTTTAAATATGGGAGGCTTCATGAATGAATTTGCAATTTGCGTGCCATCCTTGTGCAGGGGGGCATGTCAGTCTTTTCTGTATCATTGTAATTTCAGTATCTGCACAGCCAAAGCGAATATTGAAAGTGTTAATTATATCTAGACTTCCTTTTCTTTGTGTCCTTCTGGGGTCTGAGATCTTTTTGTTGTCCATCAATAGACGCATGGTGTAGCTGTGACAAATAGTGAGATGACAGTGTGCTAGCAGATGGCAGGTGTGCACAGGTGCCCTGTGAGAGCGAGAGCAGGCGGGCGAGCAGAGGGCACCGGGGTCTGGAGCACAAGAAAGAGAAAACAATCCTCGAACGTAACGTTCCTGCAGTGATTAGCGCCCTTCCCAGCACTTGGTTCTCCCATTCCTGTGAAGGGATTCGCAGAGTGGACCATCTCCTTATAGCGTGGCTCTGCTCCTTTCTGCGTTCTTCTCCTGGCCTGTGAGATTTGTTACAGATGTAGCTGGTAGATACGGGGCCTCTTCGTGCTTCTCTGTGTGTAAACGTTGAAACACGCATTAGGCTCCCAACCTCTTTCACTGTGACCATAAACAGGAGTTTCGTTTCTTTCACTGTTTCTCAAAATGGGTGATGCCACCCCAAGGGGGCGCTGGAACAATCTGGGTGGGTGGGCGGTGCTACAAAGCAGGTACCCACACTTTATCCTGGATTATGGACTCTGGGACCAATGCTTTTAATTGCCAGGGGGACCCTTGAGTCGTTGTTTTTCTCTGAAAAGGGCACGGTAGGCCAAATAAGTTTGGGAACCTTTGGCTGATTTGGACCTGTAGGGATGTGAAAATATGCTTTAAGCAATTGTCCATTCTCTCCCCCAACAGCAGAAAAATTGGGGGGAAAGCTGCGCAGAAGCAGACAAAGGAGGGATTTGGCAGACCGAGGGTGCTGGTGATGACAGTGACTTTCTCTGCCAGGTGGTCCTTTCCACCACCCACACCAGGCACAGCGGAATCTGACAGAGACTGAGCAGCTGCCCCCCATGGGCTCCCTTCTCAGCAAGCCGCTGTCTCAGCATGCTCATCTGTACCACACCCCAGGAGGTGACTATGCTCACCCCTATTTATAGGGGGCGAAATAGGAGCTAGGCTGCAGGTCTAAAGTTGTGGATTAGGGGTGGAGCTGGGCTTAAGCCCAACATTCCATCCCCCGGCTGCCACAGGCAAGCGTGTGTACAAGCCAGGCACTAAACCCCCAGTGTCAGCTGTCTGTCTCTGATGTTCTCATGTCTGTCGTTGGCAGTGAGGGTGGCGTGGCTTTCTGATTCCAGCCCAGTCTCTAGGAATCGTGGCATGCTGCTAACTGTAACTAGATCATGTTGTATTTTCTTGTCTGAAAGCCTTCATTTTCTCTGCTTTCAGATGGTAAAAGCAATCCAGGTTTTACGTATTCATCTTCTTGAGCTGGAAAAGGTTAATGAACTCTGCAAAGATTTCTGCAGCCGCTACATTGCTTGTCTGAAAACGAAAATGAACAGTGAGACCCTGTTGAGTGGAGAGCCTGGAAGTCCGTACTCCCCTGTGCAGTCCCAGGTATTTACGTTTGGGCTCCGTCCCACTTCCAGTTCCTACAGCCTCTGATTCCTAGGACCGCGTGCCCTGCCACCGGGCTCTTCTCGGTGGCTGCCCCGCTGGCAGCACCTCTCAGGCAATCCCTAGCCTGGTTGAGAAGTGCATCTCCCCTCCTCGATCTCCGAACCCCACTCCCAGCCTCCTGAGCAAAGACCTGGTGCTTCTCTTGGGCTTCTACATGTACTGCACTGGATTCCAGTTGCGTGTCCGGGCCCTGGGTGGCCGTTCACTTCGGTGCTCCCTTGTAATGGCTATCTCTTGGCCAGGGCCCTGCTGGTGCATTGGGGAAGGGGTGGCTGCCACCCCAAGGTGACTGCTGAGAAGTACCAAATCCGAGCCACTGGACCCCCAGGGGACGTAGGTCAGCTGTGGGAACCTACTAGCGCTCTACGGGAGCCTTCAAACCCTATGGGGCAGTTCTGCTCTGGTCTGTAGGCTCCCGAAGAACTAGAATCCACTCCGTGATTTGGTTTTTGAGCACTTACTAAAAATTAATATCTAGAAAATGGTGGGTTTTTTTGTAGAAAATGTTTTGGGGGCCCCAGACCAAGTGATTTTGGTTGTCTTTGTGTAAGACCGGTAATCCTAACAGGCCTGGTAGTAGAGGATCTTGGCAGAGTCCTCCTCATTAAACTGTATTTCTCTAGATTTCCATTTAGGGCCCTCATTACAATATCCTGTGTGTGCTTCCCTAGCCACCGGAACTAGCAGGCTATCGGCTTTTATTACATGTGTGAAGTAGGAAATCTTTTGAATTTGAGATTATTGAGTTTCATATGCAGTTTTAAGAAATCATACAGAGACGCCCTGTGAACCCCTTCACAAGCTTCTCCCAGAGTCACATCTTGCAGAACTTAGTGCAACGTCACAGCTGGGTATCGACGGTGACGATGGAGATGCAGAATAGTTGCCTCCTGCTGCCCTTTTATACCGACACCCACTTCCCCCTCCTGACACTGCCCCTCTTTCACCCATGCCACCACCTGGTCCTGTTTCTGTGAGTTCGGCTCTCAAGAGGCTTGTGTCAGTGGAATCGTGCAGTGTGCCCTTTTGCGATGGGCTTTGCCGTTCAGCATAATTCTCTGGAGATTGGTTGCATGTATCAGTAAGCTCATCCATTTTTATTGCTGAGCAGTATTGCCGGGCCAGTACACACTCCCCTGTTAAAGGCCATCGAAGTTGTGTGCAGTGTTTGGACTATAAAGCTGCCATGAGCCAGCATCAAAGTCACAAGTCCGGGGTTTAGAAATGCTGACCTATGCTCCAGAGAGGTGGTGCGCCTTCACATCCCCAGCAACAGTGTGTGAGGGACCCGCTTCCTCCCAAACCTTGACAGTACTTGTATATTCAGATTTTGATTTTAGCCGTTCTGGTTGGTTTGTTACCTCACCGTGGTGTTAATTTGCATTGCCCTGATGGCTAATGATGTTGACCATCCTTCCATGGGCTTATTTGTCTCCTGTGTATTCTCTGTTCGTGTCTTTGGTCATTTTTCTAGTTGAATGATTTATGGTTTCTAAATCTTTCCTTCAAGTTTGAGCTTGTCTTTTACTCCTTGGTATGGTCTTTCACATCGTTGTTCCTGTTGTTGTTGACCATGGGGATTGTTTCATCATAGCAACCTTCTGTCCAGCAGATCGAAACCCACCCGCTCCTGCACCGTCTCCGCAGTCCTTCCTCGGTTTGAGCCCATTGGTGTAGGCCCGGTCATTGAGGCTCTTCTCTGTGACCCTCCACTCTACCAAGCGTGATGTTCTTCTCCCAGGATTGGTTCTGCCCCATACATGTCCAGAAGGCATCCACCTGCTTGCCTCTGAGGGATGCTCTGGCTGTGCTTCTTCCAAGACAGGTCTGTTTGTCCTCCAGGCGGCACGTGGTACTTGCCACCCAAATGCATCATGGCTTCGTGGTCATTCTTATTCCGAGTCTAACTCGCCCATACTTCTAGGTGATTGAAAAGACCCCCGGCGCACTTTAGCCCTCACAACGGCATCCCCACCCTCAGCACTTAGAGAGAGGTCTGTGCAGCAGACGGGCCCAGTACAGTGTGTCGTTTGAGTTCTTGAATCTTGATTCCATGGGTGTTTATGATGCATTCAGGTAAAATGAAATTCACAGTTTCAATCTTTTTGTTTATCATGATATCTAATGGACCATTGAGAGGTTGTTGTGTTTTTCCCCTCATTGAATTGTAACCCACGCTGTAAGCTGTCGACTTTGGTCTCCATCAGTAAGTGCTCCGTTCATCAGGCAAGGTTGTGTCATCTGCATACTACAGAGTCGTCCTCCGGCCATGACGCCGTGTTCTTCCTGGAGTCCGGTTCTCGGGCTATGTGCTCAGTGTCTAGATGGAGTAAGTATGGGGAGAGAAGAGAGTACAGCCCTGACACACAGCATTCCTGGTGTAAGCCACTCCGTATCCTCTTGTTCTCTTCAGACAGCTGCTTCTTGGCCTACCTAGAGGTTCTGCAGAAGAACAATGAAGTGTACAATGTTATCCATAGTTGGTTGTGATCTACACAGTCAAATACCTTTGCATAATCAATAACAAATAAATAAACACACAAATAAACTCCTCTCTGGTATTCTCTGCTTCCCGCCAAGATCCACTTGCTGCAGCAGTGGGATCCCTCATTCATGAATATGGCTGGCATTTCTGCCAGATCCCTGTCAATGTACTGGTGAAGCCATGTTTAAGGTATCTTAATCAAAATTTTACTTGCATCTGACAGTAATACTGTTGTTCGATCATTTCCACATTCGGTTGGATCACCTTTCTTTGGAATTGGCACAAATGTGGGTCTCATCCAGTGTGTTGCCCAGGTAGCTGCCGTCCAGGAAATTTGGAAGCCTTAGGATGAGTGACCGCTCCAGTGTTGTGTCCATTGGTCGAAGCAGCTCAGTTTGCATCCCCTCAGTTCCTACAGTCTTGTTTTATGCCATTGCTTTCAGTGCAGCTTGGGCCTCCTCCTTTAATACCATCACTTCTTGATCATATGCCACCTCCTGAAATGATTTAGGGACAGTGACTCTGCATAGTTCCTCCATTTTCTTTTGATACTTCATTTTGTTGCAACTTGAGGCTCGAATTTTTTCCTCTAGTTCTTTTAGCTTTAGAAATGCCAAGTGTGCTGTTCCTTCTTGGTTTTCTAGCAGATCATTTCATTATAATGCTTTATAGAAGTATCTTTTTAACATCTTGGCTACCCTGTGCCATTTTCTGTTCCGTTTGTTTCATCATTTCTTCTAGCAGCCTTAGCTACTCTGTGTTCAAGACTCAACTTCAAATGTCGTCCCTGCTCTTTTCTGTCTTTCCTTCCTGTCCTTTTAGCGAGCCTTCCCTTTCTTCATGCCTGATGTTCTTCATGTCGTCCCAGCTCAGCGCGTCTTCTGTCATCAGTTGGCAGTGCGTCGATCTAAATTTAGGTGAAGTCGTGGGCTTGTTTCCATTTTCTTCAGCCTCGCTTGAACTGGCTTAGGAGCAGGTGATTGGTCTGTTCCACAGTTGATTCCCGGCACTGCTCTGGTTGAAGATAACTGTATTTGCCACTGTGTCTTACACAGATGCAGTCTATTTGATTCCTCTGTATCATCATCATTTATGTTGTTGAAAGCAGCCATTTGCAATGAATTAAGTCATTGATCTTGGAAAATTCTATCATGCAATCTCCAGCTTCATTTCTGTCACCAAAGCCATGTCTTCCAATTATTGATTCTTACTCTTTGCTTCCAACTTTTGTCTTCCAATCATACCACTAATTATCAACACATCTTGATTCCATTTTTTTTTTTTGCCTCTGCAACAGGCTTTATTGTCTCTTGATAAACTTCCTCTCACCTGGAGGAGTACATTGTTCTAGTCATTAGCTTCTCTTTTTCTCTCTTTAAACTCTATGCTAACAGCCACTGAGCCAGGATTGCATATTTGATCAATGTAAGACTACAGAAGTTGGTAGAAATCTTCAGCTTCATCTCCTTTGACTTTATTGGTTGGGGCATGAATTTGAATAATATTAACTGGCCTTTTTGTAGGCATATGGATAGTATCCTCTCACTGACAGTGATGTTCTTCAGGATAGATCTTGATAGGTTCTTCCTGACAATAAATGTGGCGTCATTCCTCTTCAGTGTGTCCTTCTTGGCATAGTAGACCATGTTATAGTTAAATTCACAATAACCCGGAGCAGTCTGTTTCCGTGCACCAGTACTTAGGAGATCCATCGTAATGCATTTCATTTCATTGTTTATGACTTTCCGTTTTCCGAGATGCAGACTTTATATAGCCCATGTTCTGTTTATACAGGATATTTGCAGTTGTTTCTTCTCACTTTGAATGGTGCTTGTTTTTCCCCAACAAATGTCACTGGAGCAGATGGGACATTCATAAGGGGGGAAAAACTGGGGGTAAAAAAACCTCATCCTAAACCTCACACTTTATTATAAATCCTATCTAACTCAAACTGGATTGTGTCTATGTAAAACTACAAAACCTTTGGAAAATAAATTTAGGAGAGGATATGAATAGCAGTGGGTCTTTCACATAGCAAATTTCCCTTCTTTTGACAAAGTTCAATTTATCACCTTCCCTCTGATGAATTGTGCTTTGTTAGTAGGGATTCCTTGCCTAACCCACAATCCTACAGATGTTATTCTAGGTTTGTTTTCTTAAAGTGTTATAGTTTTACCTGTAAGCGTGAGGTTTATTTTGAGTCAAGTGCTGTAGTACAGGATGACACTTACATCGAAGCTCTTTTATGCCTGTGAGTGACCATTTCCTCCAGGAGCCTTTGTTGAGAAGACTGTCCTTTCTTCGTGGAGTTGGTTTTGTGCTTTCGTTGAAGGAAATTTGGCTTATTTGTAGGTCCGTCTCTGGTATCTCTCTTCTGTTCCATTGATGTATTTCTGTCTGCAAATACCAGACAGTCTGGATTGTTTATCTGTATAATAAGACTTAAAATTAGGCCAATTCCTTACTTTTTTATGTTTGTTTCTCAAATTTGTTGTAGCTTCTTTGTGTTTCGATGTATACTTTAGAATAATCTTATCTACATTTACAACAAATATGGCTGGAACTTAGATAGGAATTAAATTATACCTGTAGATCATTTTGGTGAAAATTTAGATCATTGCTTTATTGAGTCTTGCAATCTGTGACCATGTTACTCATTGTTATTTAGATCTCTGATGACTGTATGTGGAAATTATCGCCTATGCTTGTCTTGTATTCTGTGACCTCGCAGAACTCCTCATTCTAGTAGCCTAGGGTTGTTTTTTAATAGGGTACTTGGCATTTCTCATCTAGATATTCATGTCATCTGCAAATTGGGACAATTTTATTTCTTTCTAATCCGATTTCATAGGCTAGAACATCTAGCTGTGTTGGAAAAGCGTTCTGAGAGTGAAGATTCTTCTCCAGTTCACCTCAGGAGGAAAACAGTCCATCTTTACCAGTAATTGTGATTTTGTCGGCGCTCTTTTCCACTAGAGGAGCTTCCTCTCTATTCCGATTTTTCTGAGAGTTGGTGGGGTGTTTGTGTGTGTGTGTGCTTGATTTTCGTTATAATGCGTATTGTATTTTGCCAAATGTTTTCATCTATATTGATTTTGATTGATATGATCATGTGATTTTTATTTCTTTGCCTGTTAATATCCTTTGTTGTTATTTTAAATTAGTTTTCCATTCCTAGAATACGTTCCACCTGGTCATGGCACATAATTCTTTTTATATACTGATGCGTTTGATGTGATAATATTTTATTTAACATTTTTATGGCTAACTTATTAGTTATTTCATTAGTCTGTAGTTTTCATTTTTGTTCTGTCTGGTTTTACCATCAGGATAATACTACTTTCAGAAAAATATTTGTACAAATTAGGTAGAATTGATGGTTAATTCTTTTTTTAAACCTTTGGCAGAATTCCCCAGTGAAACTATCTGTGCTTAAAGATTTCTCTTGGGGTAGCTTTTAAGTTACAAATTTAATTTTCTTAGTAACTATGGAGATAAAATTACCATATATAACTCACATTGCATGAATTAGGGTAGCTTATGTGTAGTGTAGTTGTAAAATGGAATCAGGTCCATTTTATCTAGGGTGTCAGATTTCAGTTTGTAGAGTTAGTGTATTTCCCTTGTTATCTTTTTGATGGCCACAGTGCCTGTGGTGATGACTCCTTTGTCATTCTTGACACTGGCTATTTGTGTCTTCTCTTCCTCTGTCCCTCTCATAAGAGGTTTGTCACGTTTATTGACTTTCAAAGGACCAACTCTTTGCTTTGGAATCAAATTCAGTGATTTCTCCTTTTTATTTCCTTCCTTCCTTGTTTAGGGTTCCTTTGTTCTTTTCTTCCTTTCCCAGATTCTTGATGCTTGAGCTTAGATCATTGACTTAGATGGCGTCACTGTTATTGTGATCAGAGTAGTAAAGTTGAACCGTCTGCCAGAACTTACACGTCCAGGTAGCTGTGTGGGCTTTGGGCAGTGTTGGTGGATGCTTTTTAGCCCCTCGAGTAACTCAGTGCCTGCTCTGTGCCATGCCCGTGCTTGAGGCTTGGTACACAGAGGTCCCCTCCCCAACGCAGCCAACCCAACAGTAGTAATAAGTTGACAAACTGGCCTGCTTGGGCCTCAGATGGGTACAGTCACCAGTGTTAAAGTTTTAAATACTGGCATGGAGCTTGCTGCCGGCCAGGCCCTGTTCCGAGCTTGCGCTTTACCAGTAGGAACACACAGATGTAGAGGGGGGGGTGTGTGTGCAAGTACTAAGGGCCGGGGTCACTGGGAGTGACCACCTGGTACCGCTCAGAACGTCTTTGTGCTTGGTGCCTTTTGGTTGCCTCTCGAGCCTGTGCTGCCCTGCTGAGCGTGCTCACTGGCACTCTTGATCCTGTCAAGGACAGTGTGTTCCAGGAGAGTCCCACAGCCCCAGGGCCGAGGCTAATGAAAAGGTGGTGGTAAAGTCACCCAAGGAGGTGATGTTAGTCCGATCGTAGTGTCTTCCTAGTCACATCTCCCAGGCGATCAGGTGTTTTAACCTGATGGCGAGGTGAAAGGTAATCTTTTGGAAGCCACGTTGCAAACAGAACAGCACTGACCGTCATGTTGGGTGCTCAGTGCAGTTTGCAGCTCTTCGTCTTCATGTATGTGATGCGTACTTGTTGAGGGCTGGCCATAACTTTACCACCGGCGTGTTAGCACCCCTTTCTTTGCATTTACAGACATGGGTTTGCTTTGGTCTAATAATCACTGCCTCTCTGTGTTTATGCCTTCAGCAGATCCCCAGTGCCATTACGGGCACGCTCAGCCCTCAGGGCATTGTGGTGCCCGCATCTGCCTTGCAGCAGGGAAACGTAACCATGGCAACTGTGGCAGGTATGTTTAAAGAAAAAGTGGACAGCGTTTACTTGAGTTTTTGCAGGGAAAAGTCCCTGCAGAACCAAGAAGTACATACATGCAATTCGTAATTAATGCCTTGGCCATCCGTTCCTGGTGTAGTAGTTCTGAAATTCCAGTCTCTATAAAGACCTGTTTCTTGTCAATAACAAATACCAGTTGTTTTTTCTTATCAAAGAAGTATTTGAGACTGAGGGTGGAGGTCACACATTCATCTCCTAACAGAGCCCTGGTGGAGTAGTTGGTTACATGGGTAGGTTGCTAACAGCTGCAAGGTCAGCAGTTCTAACCCACCAACCACTCCACAGGAGAAAGATGAGGCAGCCTGCTCCTGTACAGATTTACAGCCTCGGAAGCCCCAGGGTTACTATGAATCAGAATAGACTATGGAAGGGGGTTTATTTCCCAAGCTATATCTCCTCTCGGATGTCCTCACCCCCCCCAGCCTCAGGTGCATGCTAGGGTTCAAGAAAGAGGCACTCTACAAAGGAGGAGGGGAGGAGAAAGTGGAGTGGCAGAGCTGGGCAAGGATGCTGACTGGGGCAGCCCCGATAGCACATCAGAAGGCATGGGCCCTTCGGGGTTTTAGCCAAAAGTGTTGGACCAAAAACACCAGTATTGTAGTTCTCCTTTTTGATCAAACGAGCCTTTCTTCCTGTAGAATTTCCCCTTGTGCTATTGTATCTTTTTTGTTTACTGTAAAATACTGTCACCCGTCCCGTTCCTCATTTCATTTTCGCGAGGATGTGTGTTTGCAGTGTTCGAGAGGCAGCCCGAACTCCGAAATCTGCCCACTTCCCGTCATTTTTACTAAGTGAAATGTGTGCATGGTAGGAAAAGGGAGAAGCACAAAGAAGGGGATTCCAAGCCCCACCTAAAGGGAGCGCTCCCAGGGGTGCCTGGATGGGACAGAGTGGTGTCTGAGGAGGGGCTGTCCTGCCTGCGCAGGCCCTTGAGGACCGCCTCAGTCCCTGATGGTGCTGGGTCTCGGGCAGTAGAGCACGTTGGAGTCATGGGAAATGAGCGAGAACGCTCATCAAACTAGAAGTTTTATCTCTTCCATAAGTATATTGAAAAGAATGGTTTTAAAAAGTTAAGATTATAGCTTAAAAGAAATTCTCTGCTTTCTTTTTGAGGTGGCACAGTGTACCAGCCCGTCACAGTGGTCACGCCCCAAGGTCAAGTAGTGACGCAGGCGCTGTCGCCGGGGACAGTCAGGATCCAGAATTCACAGGTGTGTGCTCCGTCTTGAAGGGAGGGTTGCGGGCCTATGTGTGCACAGGTGTGGGAGGTGTAGGAAGAACCAGACTTGGGCTGTAACTCCCCCCACCCCACACACACACACACACATACACACAGACAAGGTCATGTCTTGCAGACCGGCTGCCATGTAGCAGTTTTCCATTGATCTAAGCATAATGCTTTGTTTCTGTGTTCCTTTTTACGCTTCACCCCCCTCACTGTAGAAGAGGGGCAGGGTGCAGAAAAGCTCAAAGAAGCAGGAACAGACTCACCGCGCCCGGGCAGCAGCTGCCACTGTAAAGCATTTCTGTCTGCAGTGGATGGTGGCCATGGGTTAGGGTTTGTCAGGAGATGGGGGGTCAGGAGAACGGTATCCTTAAGGGTCCACCTGCAGGCTCAGAGAGCCACCTTGGTGAGTTAACCAACTGTGCCCGGCCCCATCCAGACCTTCAGGGGAGAATCTGGCAGAGCGCAGGCCTGTGTGCTTTGCAAAGCTTCCCAAGACCATGCTGTGATGCCCCGCCCGCACCAGCGTGCTGGAGGCTGGACCTGGATCCCTCCCTGAGCACTCAGGGTACTTACAAGCACCGTGAGAGGCCTGAGGAGTCTGAAGTGGAGAGTCTCAGCTTTCACCCTTCCTGTTGCCTGGTTTGGAGCCTGGCTCAGGGCAGGCTGCAGGCTGGTGTCAGACACGGAGAAAAGAAGGGCTCGCACACAGCAGAGATAGCCCCCTATGCCCGGCCAGTCGAGGGGACCGTGCTGGGGAAGCCCAGACCAGTGCCTGCAGCCTGGGTTCTCCTGCCTTCTCCCAGGGCCTGTGTGGGCAAACGAGGAGACTGGACATGGGGAATCCAAACTCTGTGTGCATTCGGTTTATATCCATAGAAACCATATGTATATCATGAATATACACACGTATACTTAGAGTTTCAAATCAGAAAAACAATGTATATGCCATTCCTTATTATTATGAGCACATTTCTTCAGTCTTTATAGTAGTTCTTTGTCTGTGACCCACAGACACTTTCTGCACCCTTACTGCAAGCGTTGGGAATAGTGGTGGTTACCAAATGACATAGCAGTTTGGTGCAGGTGGGCCGGTGTCACTCACCTTTGTCTTCGCCAGTTTTAGGCGCGCAAAATGTAGTTGAGCCAGGGGCTGCTGGCGTCTCAGTGCGGGATCTGCTGACGGGGCGGGGGTGGAGGGGTGGGGGGAATGGATCTTGTAGATCACCTTCCTCTCCATGGTCCTCTGCTTTCCCTTCCCCTTTCCTCCGCGCCTCTTCGTGCTTCCTGTTGGAAGTTTGGGCTCGTGTGTTTTAGGGGGTTCTCCTGACCCCCCATTTAGGCTTGTGTGTCTGGGTCAGAAATGAGGATATCGGGGTTGTCTGTTATGGATACTGTTGTCACTCTTTCATCAGTGTAGACGTCTGTGTCACAGGCGGCTCTCATCGTGACTAGTGGTGGTGGTGGTAATGGGGATAGTGGCAGTGGTGGAGGAGGGAGGTGTGGATGGTGGTCTTTGAGGCAGTGGCTGTGGTGATGGTGGTGGAGGTGCCGGCAGGTCTTGTATCATTGCTCTTCTTGCTACACAGGGTCCCTGCCTCGTGTCTGGCCAGGCCACATGGACTCCCATGGACTGGGTGCTTCCATGCCGTGGTTGGAGCCCAGCATGGCGATGCTCCCCGGGTCTGTTCCCGGCACCAAGCGATTCCATTGTTGTTGAGATTTCCTGTTCTTTCCCTTCGCCCCTCCCCCAGGAGTCTCATTCCTACAACTGTTACTTGTATATTTTAGTAGCGTGCTATGGTTTGGGCCTCCGTTTTACTCTACAATAAGTTTTAACTTTTTACCACGTTGTTAGATGTCATAGCTCAAAATGGCAACGGGAGCTAAAGACTTATAACAAACGGACGCTCTCGGCTGCACCCTCCTGCCCTCTGCCGGGCAGCGCTCTCAGTGGCGTGGTTAGCCTTTCCTTCTGCTTGTGACCTCATGTGTCTAGCTGCTGTCAGATGCCATCCAGTTGACTGACATGGGGACCGTGTGATAAGAGTGGGCCTGCTCCACAGGGCTTCAGGGCTGCCATCTTTGTGTGGGTGTAGGTCACCAGGGCTCTTCTTTGTCAAGTAGCACTGGCTGCATGTTCTGTAGCCCTTTCTCGGTGACGTGAGGAAGTCCGTATCGGTAGTGCCGTGGCCACTCTGCCTCTTCCTGCCCTGGTGTCTGCCTTGGTGCTCCTGCTCCTTCCTGTGTTCAGCGGCCATGCTCTGCTCGTCGGTGCCGCTCTTAGCCTGACCTGGTGGAGGCCGGGAGCTCAGCGCTTGTCAGAAGCACAGGTCGGAGTAGCCATGATGGGCAGGACCAGGGAGTGCACCTGGCTGCTGGGAGGGGCTGGGCCTTGGGGCCTGCCCTTGCTCTCCTGGCAGCCTCTGCAGGGGATGGGGGGGTGGGGGTGTCTGTCAGTGGTGCTGCTGTAAGAGGTTTCAGCACTAGAGGAACCCAGTCCTTAAGCTGCCCTAGCAAGGGTGCCATGAACGTGCTCAGTCGTACCCCCTGAGGGCTTGTGGTCATCCCAGCAGGAGTCCCAGGCTGCTCTGTGATGCCCCATGGCTTTCTGTGTTTGCTCGTTGAACAGCTTCAGCTGCAGTTGAACCAGGACCTCAGCATCCTGCACGCGGACGACGGCTCGGCCAAGAACAAGCGGGGTGTCCTGCCGAAGCACGCCACCAACGTGATGCGCTCGTGGCTCTTTCAGCACATTGGGGTAAGGCTGCCGGAGAAAGCCCGTGGATGCTCCCTGAGCGCCGGTCTGGCCCTGAGCACTGTGGCATGTCCATAGAGTGTGGACACTGGGTCAGAGGGAGAGTCGTCCAAAGTGAGGGGGTTGCCTCAGAGATGGCGAGGGGAACAGCTCCTGTCCACTGCGTACACGCCTGTGAGAGAGACTCGGGGGTGGGGGCCAGGGGTGGAGGCACCAACAGAGGGACCGAGGCAGGCAGGGTGCCATGGACCAAAGGCTCGACGCTGTATTTGGTGAGCAGGGAAGCTGCACGCTGTACAGATTGGGATCTAGAAGAGCACATGTACAGTCCACAGCCGCTAGCTGACTCGAGACTCGTTTTGACCCAGAAGGTCGTATCAATTACTGGCTCAGTGGGGACATCTGTGTGCACCTAGTTCCATACCTGAGTCTCCTGTGGTCCAGGCGGGAGCTGCCCCAGTGCAGACTGGCCGCAGTGGGCGCCGGGTGCACCCTGTTCAGCAGACACGCTGTTGGCCACCAGCACATTGTGGCAGTGCCACGTGCAGCCTCAGCCCCAGACTGAGTGGCCTTCAGGAAGGCCCCCTGGGTGGTGCTGGTTGCAGGAGCGGCTGAGCTCTGTGGGGAGGGCTGTGTGAGAAAGCCCAGACAAGAAACCTGGTGGTCATCACCTGGCCTTGGGCTTGGGCTTGGGCTTGGGCTTGTCAGTGACCCAAGGATGTTTGTGCTGAGACCCCAAGGCCACATCTGCAGTCAGGGTGCAAACCTCTTGATGGCCACTTTCGTTATCCCCGTGGCACCACTCTGCCAGGGACCTCTGTCTCAAGGTGCCCACCTCTCCTGCGGTAGGTACTTCAGCCTCATGACCCACCCAGCCCCTGGCTCACAGAGCGCCAGGCTGGCCTCTCCTCGGTTCCTCTGGGCACCACAGCCCCTTTCTGACTGGCATACCTGTCTGTGGCTCGGCTCTCTGCCCAGCTGTGTACTCTCTCAAGTCCAGACCTGCCTCAGGGAGGCCTGGCGCTGCGTGTAGTGTCAGCCTCCATGTCCCCTCGGTCACCCGTTATGGTCATGCTGGGCCCCTCAAGCCATCAGCCCTGCTCCTGTTTGCTGGGCCCTTCCTCTGGGTGGAGTTGTGCACCTTCCCTTGGTAACCAGGGTCAGTGGGTGCTGTGGGCAGCATCTAAACTGGCAAGGGGATGTGGCTCAGCTGTCCAGGTAAAGGGGAAGGTATGCCCTCCCACCACCCCAGGATGCCTCTTGCCTGAATGCTACTCCACCACCACCCCACGCCCCCCGAAAAAAGAGAAAAAAAACAAAAACTGTGGTCTGTGATTCTTGCCTCACCTCATCATCAGCAAGGCAGTTAGCAGTGCGCCTCTTCTCTCCGAGCCAGCGTGACCATGCCACACGCGGGCCCCACAGAGACGCTTCACCAGGAGAGCAGGCATGGGCCTGTCAAGTAGGCAGCGTTCTAAGGAGTCCTGATGGCAAGCCCTGATGGTGGCGGCTGGTCTGCTAGTCGCTCGGTTAGTGGTTCAGCAAACCAGCTGCCCTCAGCAGAGACATCGGCTGTGTGCTGCTGTGAAGATTGACAGCCGTAGACACTGGATCGATGGGGTCGCTGTGGGCTAGGATCAACTCAGTCACAGTGGGTGGGGTTTGTTTTTGTTATCTAAAGTGATAGGGGAATAAGCATGATTGAAAAAGGAGTGTGTGTATATATATGGTTATCATAACCCATGGCTCTATCTTTATAAAATGATTACAGTGTAGCACAAGTAGGTGGGGAGATTGAGTAACTCTTTTTCCTCTCACATTTCTTTTAATAACTTAATAATCTCGAAAACAATAAACCTGTTCAGGAGAGCCCGTTAAAATGCCATGTTTTTCTCTCTAAAGCAATTTCTGTCTCTTCTTGACCTCATTTCTTTGAAATCCCCACGTGGGTCTTTTCTCCCGCCCTAGGGCAGCATTCGGCGTGCTGTTTTGTTCCGTTCCCCTCTGAGTTGTGTGCTTATATCCCCCCTCGTGTTTATGAGCTCTTGGAGGGGCAGGAACAGTGTTCACGTTTCCATCACACTGAGTTATAATTTGAAGGCAAAAGCAAAACTGAGGCAAATCCAGTGCTAATCCAGGTTTCCCAACGTTCCCCGTGTTCATATAGGACAGAGCCCAGGCAGACAGGGGTCCGGGTGGGTGAGTAAGTACATGGCTGCTCACAGACAGGTCGGTGGTATGAGCCCCCAGCCGCTCCGCAGAAGAAATCTGGGCTGTGGCTGACATGGAGACGACAGCCTAGGAAACCCGGGCAGTTCTGATCTCCAATCGGCCAGCGAGTCCACAGCAGGGAGCTCCTGCCTGTGGGTGTGCAGTCTGCGTCTCCCTGCTCTCTGCAGAGAGGCAGCCAGCGTGCATCTTGGAAAAGGTATTTCTCACCATCAACAAACAGCAAACGTGCTGACACCATGCCCGTTTCAACACGGCGGCCCCATGTGGGGTCCCGCGGCTGTGATCTCGGCCTTCTCCCAGGGAGCAGTCGGTGGGTTTGAGCCTCCAGCCTTGGGATTAGCAGTTTTGTTCTTCCCCTTTGGTAATATTTTGAATTAGCTGTAAGACAGAACAGCAGTTAGACGCCCTGCCCCAGTCTATGCCTTGATCCTTGACCCGCAGCCACAGTAACCTATCAGAGGCTTGTCCAGAGGGCACAAGGCTCCCCAGGACAGGACACGCAGGGCTCTGTTGAGTCTCTCTGTACCAGTGAGGAGAACACATGACCCGCCTCTGCCGGGCTCACAGCTGCTCCTCATGCATTTCCCATCTCCACGGGGGAGGGGAGTGTGCACACACTGTGAGCCTCGGTGCCCGCATCTGAAGCAATACCTTGGAGTGACTGAGCAATCGTTGGACGAGTGGGGAACACTCAGCGGTAGTGGAAAGGGGCGATGTCTCTCTGTAGTGGAGGTTTCAAGGGTTGAAACTCATCGGCCCAACGTGGAGGCAGTTTATTAATAAATTATACCTCAATAAAGTTGTAGATCAGCGGGTCTCAACCTGTGGGTCATGACCCCTTTGGGGGTCTAACGACCCTTTCACAGGGGTCACCTAAGACCATCAGAAAACACATATTTACCATCGTCTTAGGAACCAAGACACGGCTCCTCTATCCGTCTCCTGGCAGGTCCACCCACATGCAGATATGCCCACCTATGAGTACCCGGTGTGAAGACTTACCCGTGCTACACCATGCATCAAGACAACATTTCATTTATTTGTCATTAGAAATAAATATTTCACAATATACTATTACATATTGGTTTTGTGATTCATCACTACATGCTTTAATGATGTTCAATTTGTAACAATGAAAGTACATCCTGCGTATCAGGTATTTACATTACAATTCCTAACAGTAGCGAAATGACAGTGAGGAAGTAGCAACGGCAATAGTGTTATGATTGGGGTTACCATCACACGAGGAGCTGTAGGAAAGGGTCTCGGCTTGAGGAGGGGTGGGAACCACTGCTGTAGATGCTTTCTGGAGCTCCCCCCCCACCCCATGCCTGGCGGAGTGCGCCCAGTGAGAAGTCGGATGTGGTGTGGCGGGTCTCTTCGCTGCACCAGAAGAGTTTCTCCAACACTAGTACAGTCTGCTGCGGTCTCAGGAGTGCTTCCTTCTCTGTGGGGCTTAATCAAAGACTATAGTTCGGTTTGGGAGAGAAGCCCAGAGGACGCCTGCTCGTTGTTCAGGTGTGGGCTTCCTGGATAAGTGTGACTCCCCTTTGAAGACTTAAAGCTCATAGCCGCCCTTCTTTTCCTTCTAGCACCCCTACCCTACGGAGGACGAGAAAAAACAGATTGCTGCGCAGACAAACTTGACACTACTACAGGTTAACAACTGGTAAGAGGCCCGGCTCTCGGGAGCCCTGCATGTCCGCAGAGCAGAGCAGGAGCCCTTGGAAATGCTGGTGCTGGTTGTCATCGGTGGGTGCTTCAGGCCGCCAGAAACCCTGAGACCGAAGCAAAGCGCCCCACGTGGGCGCCTGGAACAAACAGATGGTTTTTGTGTGTTTGTTTTTTAAAATCATTTTATTGGGGGCTCGTACAACTCTTCTCACCATCCATCCATCCATCCATTGTGTCGAGCACGTTTGCACTATGTTGCCATCCTCATTCTCAGAACGTGTGCTCTCTGCTGCAGACGCTGTTTTCTCAGTGGAGGCTAGCATTCCCAGTTCCGGGCATCAGCTCTGTGGGAGGCCTTCCTCTCCTGGTGGCCTTGGGGAAGGCCCTGTCTCGGTTCAGCTTCTGTACCTGGGGGATCTTCCCCTACCTCTTTTTGTAATCACTTCTTTCCTTGATCTGCGATTCTATGTCCCAGATTAATTTGCGGCATGACGTCTCATCGTGCTGAATAAGACGATGACCACACACACATACTGGTTTAGGATTTCCAGCACCTGTTTACGGGAGACACAATCCACGCGGTCCCTTTGTCATCTGGGGGCATCTCTGTGGGAGTTTTCATGCACACAGTCTTCTGCTAAACAGTAATCAGTAGTACTGTTTAGAGGACAGTGCCCGGGTTCTTCCAGCTAGCCGCCTTCTCTTATCACCCAGTGCTGGAATTGGTGCCAGGATGCCCATCGTCTACCTCCCCATGCTCACGTC